GCCTATCTCTGACCAGATAGTCTCCGTCTGAAAATTAATTCCTCATTTAAGATATATTCTTATCAATTAACACAAAGTATAATTGTTATCCAGGCTTCTTAACTCTTCGGTCAGATCATTTTCATCCGGAAGCCTCATAATCAAATATGTTAAAATGCAAACCTTAGATTTGCAACTATGGTTAGAAACAACTTAAGAACAAAGCCTGTATATGCTAGTTTCCTCTAAACATCTATGCCTAACATGCCACCTTGCATAATAACCATCACATCCAAACAAAGTAACTTCCTATTTTCTCCTAATTCTATTGCGAAGTTAACATTACTTTCACATTGGTTAGGTAAAAATATGAAAGTATCTAAACTGTCTTTATAATGCTGCCAGATCACAAAACAATCATCCATATTTTTCGCATAAAAGCAGTGTTTATTAAATAGGAGATCTAATCACTTTAGAAGATGCTTGACCTTATTTTCGCTTATGGTCGTAGTGTCAAATTGGCCCACTTAATTAGGCAGCTTACATTTTGTTTGGAACGTAAATGCTGATGAAGCTTGAAACGAATGAATTGTCCCCCAACAGCTGCACCCTCTCTTCAATCACTTATAACTTTGATCCCGCATTGCCACAAGATGAACAAAAGATCAGCATGTATTCATCGGTGTCGCAGGGCAGTGGGACCGAAGACCTATTCGTAAAAATCTACAATTCCGGCTGCAATAGAATCTCCCACAGCTTCCGGTAAGACTAATTTACGAATCGATTCCTATCGCTTCTCCAAACAAAATAAAAGGTACTCCAGCATCAATCTTTAAAGGGATTCTTCGGAATCCAGTTCTTCTACGTACTAAGGTTTTGATAGCTTCCTACATTCACTCAACCAACCTGAAAGGAATATTACGTTCCTAATAGAAATGGAAGAGAATTGGTCCTTACCCTTCGTGGATGTTCTGATTAGTAGGGAAGAGGTTAAGTTAGGAAGAGAAGTCTTTAGCAAGCCAATATATGTTGGCTCGTTTTTTACTTTTATTTTATAACCATAATTTCAATACGAAGGTTGCAATTGTTAATTAAATGAGTATTAAGATTATGAGACTAGCGGTTAGCAACCATTTGACTAAACAATTGGGATAGCTGATAGATTTGGTCCAGAAAAATAGTCATCCTTTTGCCTAATTGAGAATAATATCTCTTTACCGAGCAATACAGTTTTGAAAGTGACAATTTAGTTCAAGATACACAAGCGTAAAACTTTTGCCGCCATGCATTCGTCCTAAAATGATATACGTAATAGGCAGAAAGTGGGGAATAAAAACGGTGCTCAAAGAAACCCCCACAGTTTTAGAAAGAAATTTGATAGCTATTAGATTGTGGGCTCCTCTGCTCGACGTTATGTTGGGAAAGCATGCTCGCCTATTCTACAGATATCAATGAAACATTAAAACACTTGCAAAGGAAGCTTCTTCTAACGGTTTAATGTGGCCGAACGCGCAAACCAGAGACTGGATTTGGGATAGAAGGGTGTCATACAAGTAGGTTTGCTGAGTATGGTACGTCTGCTCTTAAAAGGGAGATAATAGAAGCTAATGGAAGTAATAGATTGGGAAGTACGTTGAATGTGAACAATGGTGGCAGGAAGTGGAATAAGAACTACTCATGCTTGATTTATAGATTGAAGAAGCCACTTTCCAAAAGTGGGCGACTCAACTGGTCCGCTCCATGATGCTCCTAACCTCAAACGCATTCGTTCAACATGTTCGAGTTAGCTCATCAACCAGACCAGACGTACGTGATAACGCAGTCCCAGTCATCTCTTTCCTTGGGCGGTTAAACCTTAATGACCCTAGACTGAGAGATCAGGACAGCTGGTTTGGTAACCTGGCTTACACGCTTACAAGCTTACATCTCATTAGCTCAACCACACTTGTTTACGGACTTACGAAGTCTCGTTCGGTGCCTTTTCTTGTGTCACTAAGCCTTGATGATCCGATCCTGACATTAGCCTTTTTGAATCACTATGATTTAGGCCCGCCATTGTGTGTAGCCGTTCACACTCACACTCGCACACACTCGATCAAGAGTAGCATGACCAATATTTTATATAAGTAGCCAATTTTTTGTACATCCATCTGTGTCCATTAATAACATTTTGTTTAATTGAGCCTATATAAGAAGTAAGGTAGAGCTGCACATTCTCCTTGCTCTAGTGTTAACGTGATGCTTTTACAACAATGAGTTCCAGCTCCGATGATGGCCATCGCCCGAAACGCGGGAGGAGTTCTTGTGGACTGCGTCAACCTGAACGTCGTAGTGAAGCCAAATGACTCGAGTACAACGCGAATCTGCCGTCGTCTTTTGGTGATATCTTTCTTTGATTCCTTCTGCCCGCACTTTTTTTTATATAGAATTCTCCGTAACAATGTTATCTCAGAAGATTCATCGAAAACTAGCTATTTTTCATACAATTCTAGTGATTACTAATATCGTAACATTTGATGTGTTATCACTCATGAAATCAATTCCGCATTGCACACACTCACATAACACAATCAAACTTACCTAAACATGAGCACAAAATTTGGATTCACATGGTTAATTTAACTAGCAAAGATTTGTGGTCTTATTCACTTAATTTATATTCCTCCATTGGATCTATATGCAACCGTTTTGTGTAAAAAGTAATTAAGTTCTGTATCCCCTCCCTATCTTGTTTAAAGCATTTAAGGAATTGTTGTCCTGAAAATCTACTTATTAAACGTTAATATTCATGATCTAATCAGCCAATTTATGAGATCCCTCATAGAGATAGTAAATTTAGGTATACAATTTGAGTATGATGACAGCCATTTTTAATTTTCATATTTCATAAGTGATGGTTCCTCGCTCTGATTACGTCTGTCAAATGAAATAAGAAAGCTCAGTATAAGAGAATAAGCCGAGGACTTATTCACACAATCTAACCCTCTCCTCTCTAAGGCAATCTATCTTCGATTTTCGTGGAGGCCATATCACTAATTTTCTTTTGAAATTTAATTCGAGTCACACTAAATAATTAAGGGAATCCTAGAAACCCAGGTTTTATTTTTCATCCATCATTTTAAATTGTAAGATAATGTTGACTCTTTACCTTTTTTATCTAAAACATCTTAATGAAATTTTAAATAGAAATATCCATTTTATCCTATTATATTTTCCACTTAATTGGTAGACAAGCAATTCGTTTATTCAGTCTATTTATCTTGTCAAAGCTGTTAGAAAAATTTGGGTTGCAATTAAAATTTTATCCTGACACGTAGACATTTTCAATCCATCCAAAAATTAGGTCATATCGTTGAGAGTTTTTAAGTATACGTCACTAATTCGCAGCCCTTAATCCATACCAGCCCCAACACAATGCCCTTCAGTATTTTGGCCAATCGTGTGTGCATATTTTAGCCTCAAATAGTGTCTTTAGTTTACGGTGTTAGTATAAGGTTAATCAAGTGCCTATACATACATACACATATTTATACTGTATATATATGAAATTTAGCCCAGTTTAGGTTGGGAAGTACTGGTGATTGGTTACTGTTCTAGCTCTAGGCTCTGCTTATTTTACTATTATATTGCATTGATCTATCTGGAATTTGACGAGTACGAGATTTACAATATTTTTTCTTTAAGAAGGCAGCGAAAAAAAATAGAAAAATAACATTTTTAGGACTGAAGTAATCACAATGGTCAAATAAAAAGGTAAGGGAGGAAATATCGTCCTTCATAAAGAAGTTGAAATTAATTTTGTTCCGTACACAAGTGTATCACTGTAAAGAGTAAAGTTAACCCGAGGTATAGACCTGGTCAAATGTCAGCCTCAAGCTGAGTAGATTTGCGGCAATTCTTTGTCTTAATTAATTTTCCTATTTACATTTGTTGGGAAGATCCGTAGGTTGGTCTAAACACGTGACTGTATCTCTATCAAGCCTTACATTAAGGAGCACTTTTTATTCGTATTCACAACTTCATCTTCCGGTGATGAGTACTGCTTACTCGACTCTTTGACTGTGTTCTTTTGGTTTTCCTTCTTTTTGCTCGAGAAGTTTATTTTGCCCTCCATCCTGCCCGGAACACTGCCGTTCTTTGAAGAAGATAGTGCAGGAGACGTTTCGTTGACGCGCAATTGACGACGAAAGAAAGCGCGTAGGCCGGACTCTTGCTTAACTTCGCCGACCAACGTCATGTTTCGTCGTGTCTCCATCTGCAAGAGGTCTTGAAACATCTCTTTCACGTTCTGGTTTAGCTTCGCCGAGGTCTCCATGAAACCACATTTCCAGCGCTTCGCGATCGCCTGTCCCTGGGGCTGGGAGACCTCTCGCGCCTCATTTTCATCACATTTGTTGCCAACCAGCATTACAGGCACCCGAGTAAACTCGGCCGCCTTGATCCGCGTCAGTTCTGTGTAGATGGAGTTCAAGTCTTCAAGGGAGCTCTTGCTGGTTACTGAGTAGACAAGCAAAAATGCATGCCCTTTACTGATGCTCAGCCTCTGCATGGCTGGAAACTGGTGGCTCCCGGTGGTGTCAGTTATCTCCAGGGTACACACCTGCTTGTTGCAATTGATCACCTACATAGGACAAGGGAGGAAAGACAAATAATAAGAATAACGCAACAGTCCGTTCCAAGTACACACCGATGCACACACAAACACCAGTTTGGGGAGGCTGCAGACCCGCATGTAGGAGCGCTTGAAAGAAAACATGGATCTATTCCAAAATCTTTAAAAAACATTCAGTTGTGATCTATAGAAGGAAGACTGTACTTCCAAAAACGGCGTGAATATGTGCGTATTCGGTTGGTCTTCAGTCGTTCAGGTAAGCAAAATAAATATAGGATTTTATGCTTGTCACTGCTGGGTATGGAGACTGATGAAGTTCACTCAAGATACAATGGGGCACCGACTTCAATGAGCTCTTTAGCCCAAGATTAAGTGTACATTCGGAGTCAAGCTAGAGCATTAGGTCATAGAGACAAGTGTACTGCTACTAAATTATAAGCAATTCAGCTATAATCCGGGGAAATAGACATAACAGTGTGAATTTTTCTTGAGCGGGGAAGTTGAGAGGAATTATTTTGGGTCCAAAAGCTTCATACAAGCTCTGTTTAGACAAAAGTTATAATCGTATTTTCTAGAAAGTATTTTTGAGATGTATTCACCCTATTTCGTTTAAGGTCATCAAGATATGGTAGTAGAATTTACCACAATGATATAAATAGACCTTATGTTTCTATTCAATTTCACATTAACTTTCCCCCAAAAGGTGCTCTCGTCCAGGCTGGAGTTGACTGAAATCTCGACTTCGGTTGATTTTGTCCTATCAGCACCACCAACGGGACCCTAAACCAGGGTTGATTTGTGCAGTGTATAATCTCGACAAGTTAGCGATCTTAAATGAAAGGGGTTAATTGCATCTCAATAATAAGTAAAGCTATCACTATTTCTGCCTTGCTCTAATCTCATATTCGGTAAAATTCCTTCAGCAAGGTTAGTGATGTTCTCACTAATCTAGCGTTGCTGTCATTTATTCTTATGATTTCGTACTTAATTTGTGCAGTGTTTTCCGCTATTTCTGATCTCTTTGCATCCGCTTTTTTGCAGATCCCTTCTTGTTGCTTGACTGAATTTTGGTTTGTCTTACTATTTCGCTAGTATGCTTTTGTTCACAATCGCTGCATGCTATAAAATAATCTCCTGAGTAATGTAATTGCTTCAAGTTTTATAGTGCCTGGATAATCTTGTCGAGAGTGTGGTCTTTTTCTTTTGTAGTCACCTGTATATTTCATTTTATTAATATCGGTCATATTTTATGCGTTACTTGTGAAAGGAGGGAGGCATATCCACCGTTGTCCGTCTTTCTCTATTCTTGTTTTCCCAACCATGCCATTGGCTCTTCACGGTCTTATACTTCTTTCTATGATTTATATCGAATATCCGTTGCCGTAAAACATTTGAGTCAATTTGACCAATTATTCATCCCAGAATTCCATGTATATTAGTCTTAGGCTTCCTTAAATGATTCTCCTCGTTATTCAGATCTCACTTTACAGTTTATTAAAAGGTATGAAGACCAAGATGGTATGGTTTTTTGTGTGGTCGTAGCCTCCTTTCGTTGTATAGAATTTGTTTGACCTTGTTTTCGCAATTTGGTCATATTGGTAGAAAGACTTAGAGGAACGCACCTAGTTTGGAGTCCGTTTTATGTATAATCATTTCCAAATTCTGACCGTGGACTCGGTACATTCCCAGACGTTTCGCCGACATCGTCAGTGAGTCTCCCCATTCGTAGCACAATATTACAACTCGTCAAAGGGACAAGTGAACCCCATCCTTTGACCAAACGTGTGCTAAACAGCTGTGGTATCTTTCTTTCTGAACTGGACTATTCACATTTCCTATATCGTCCTATCATGTTTTCACTGTCAACATTTTTACCGTGCTTATTTTTAATGAATGTGGTGTGCTCCTTCGAGCAGCATTCATGAAAACCCTTCACGCTCCACGCTGTCATTATCACCGCCTTCACCCTTGTGCTGGGAATGTTGACTAGAGTCTGTCATATTGTTGCTTATCCTTCCCTGGATCCTATCAGAGTCTCCCTCTTGCCCCGTAGACTCCGTCTGCTATCTCCAGGTACATGTATTTTACTCGACCCCTGCCCCCCATATGTGCTAATCGAGACGTAATTCGTTCATTCCCTGCACCTGGGTGATTGATTAAACGACCACATCTCTTGTAAAATCTACTGTCAGCCAACTAGCTCCAATCGCCGCCTCGTCTATCCTGTCTCTATCACTAACACCAAGCATATTACTTGCCATGCCCTAGTCGCTTGTGTGGCAACCCACAAATGTTGTGGTACTGCTGGCTTTGATTAGGTTCAATGTTGAACCACAACGTTTGTGGGTTG